TCTATTCTATTCTATTCTATTCTATTCTATTCTATTCTATTCTATTCAAATGCTGGTTCTTTACAATCTATAAAATACTGGTGTATTTTGTTATTGCATTTCCTTTTACTTATTTGAACCTGAAATTAGATCCTGGACTTTTTTATTTTTATTTCATTTTTTTATCCTGTGATAAGACTAATGTATATATATAAAAGTGAAATACCACTCATGCATCATAACAAAATCTCCAGAACCATAAAGCCTACAAACTTGAAATTTGGCACATATCTTCCTCTTAGCTTCTAGGTGCTCACCAAGAAAGGGTTTTTTGAAATGACTATCAGAGCATTAGTATTTCCTATATTATTATTATTAACACACTCTGATGCTAAGGAGTTCTACTCCCCCTCCACACCTGAAAAGAAATCTCTTCCAAATGCAAAACACAAGCAGAGGAGAGGAGTTTCAGTTTCAGTTTTAGTTTCACAGCACCAAGCAGCTGTAGTACAGAACAGTTAAGCTAAGCCACGCCTAGGCTCCTTGCTTTCTCCTACTTGCTCATACAGCAAATACTCTTTCAGTTTCCAAACAGCCCTCAACTCTCTCACACACTGACAGGATGCTAGCCAGATGAATATTGATGGATGGTGGTAGGCAGAGGCAGAATTTTTATTTCCTTATTTTCCTCCCCAAAAACTAAGCCCGACCACATAATTTTGTAGCAAAGCAGGGGTATCGAGTTAGTCAGTTAATAGTAAGAGACTAAAACCCACTCCCTTCTAGCACTGATGATGTTACCCAGTTGGATAACAAAGCATCTTGTTGGGAAACTGCCAGCCAGGCTGGAAGGAGGGGTCAAGCAAGGGCCTAGCTTAGAGTCCTTGTGCAGCCGCTAGCAGCGTAAGCTTGAATTGCCACAAAATCCACGAAGCCTTCTGGTCATTCCTAGGAGAAGGCAAGCGGTCTGGGTAGCCTCTTGTAACATAGGTAGCAGATAATAAAGTTACTGACTTTTGTTGTTTATGATTGGCTCTGCTTGCTTACATCTGCCTGCAGGAAAACAATCAAGCTCAGACATCACCAAAGACCCCACAATTCATAAATTACTACTACTGCTTACCATTACAGGGTGCAAGTTTGCAAACCCTCATGGATTCTGGCTTTTCTCCATCACACTGATCCCCTGTGCGGCATGACACCTGCCTGGATTCTGTCCCTTCACCACAGGTGACCGAGCACTACAAGAAAAATAACAAAGATCATATAAATAACTAGATTTCTGCATGTGAACGCCGAGTTATGCTACAGATGGATGCATTGGTATTTTTTTGGTAAAGTATGGAAATATGGACAGAAAGCTTCCCAGGAAAAAAATCCACAATCAGAATTCCTTGCTTGGATGTATAGAAAACAGTAGCCAAAGAGCTTTGTATACTTACTGGAGGCTAAAACTTATAAAGAACGGTTGCTGGAACTGGGTATGTCTAGTTTAAATAAAAAGAAGGACTGGGGTGACATGATAGCAGTGTTCCAATATCTCAGGGGCTGCCCCGAATAAGAGGGAGTCAAGCTATTCTCCAAAGCACCTGAGGGCAGGACAAGAAGTAATGGGTGGAAATTAATCAAGGACAGAAGCAACTTAGAACTAAGGAGAAATTTCCTGACAGTTAGAACAATTCATCAGTGGAACTACTTGCCTCCAGAAGTTGTAAATGCTCCAACACTGGAAGTTTTTAAAAGGAAGTTGAGATAACCATTTGTCTGAAGTGGTGTAGGGTTTCCTGCCTAGGCAGGGGGTTGGACTAGAAGACCTCCAAGGTCCCTTCCAACCCTGTTATTCTATTCTATTCAAACCCTATTTGGCACACAGATAGTCCTAGACTTGCAACCATTCTTTTACTGATTGTTCAAAGTTACAACGGCACTAAAAATGTGATTTACAATGGCAAAAATGGAATAACTGTCTGAGGTGGCTGATGAGGAAGAAGAGGAACAGCTGGGCCCAGTGCACGAATGCTCAGAAGGCAGAGGAGAGGAGAGCAGTGGAAATCTATGAGCCGGTCCTTGAGATGGAAGAGCCACCAGTGCTAGTGAAACCCCACCCTAGCTCTGGGGAGAAAAGGCAGGGGGTGGAGATGAATAGATGTGACAGACAACTATTCATCTCCCTGCTGGACAGACTTGTTAGCCTGTGGTGAGAGAGAAACTTTTTGCCAGGGCAGCTGATGCACCTAATAAAGGAATTTTGAAGTTAACTTCAGAGGTTGGTCGTGTTTGGTCAGAACCCCTTCCCATTGAAGTGGTACCCATTTATCTACTTGCATTTGCAATCCTTCGAACGGCTAAGTCTGCAGGAGCTGAGGCAAGGACAGGAACTCACCCTGTCATACATTGCTCAGGTCTCAAGCCCAAACCGTCAGCTTCCCAGCTGGTCTTTAACCACCAAGACATTGCACCCCTTAACAACCTAAACAGAAGAATACTAGTTCCTTCTGGGTATAACTCAACAGTAAGGGCAGGAACCATTCTTAGATAGTGATCTCAAGGTCAAATCTTGGTCGGTAATCAAGAGTGTTGTCTTAGCCCTGGTTACTATTAGAATTAAATCTACAGTCACAGGAAAAAAAATAACCTTTCAAGAGTATCTGTGATGACTTGGGGCGTGGCACAAAGGCAACACAGTCAGATAATCAATAAGAGTCCCTTTATTAGCTCAAACTTTGCCCCCAATGTGCAGGTTACCTTCTGGCTGGAGAAAAACTCTCCCAGGAACAGCCTTTGACTGCAGAGAATTAAATCCAAAACATGGTCAACACAAACTGTAACTTTAAGTCCAATCAAGCCAAACTGAGATAATTAGTTTGGCAGGGCAGGAAAAGAAATTCCAGACATGCAGGCACGACAAAACTCACATGGTTGGGAAGACGCCAGGAACACAGATAAGCAATGACAACACAGGATAAAGTCACGTTTGCTCCCCGCAGCTGCTGCAGTGAGCATTCAGTTCTTATAAACTTTCATTCCCAGGTGTGGCTAATGAAGGGAATCAGGGCCCTTTCCTCCCCATAAGCCACACAACCCACTTTGGTCTCTTCTCTGTTCCTCCCTGCATGCTCTAGGATGAAGAGGGGGGTGGGCCTGGGTCTTCCTCTGAACTCCCTCTCCCTTGTTCTACCTCCTCCCTGCTCTGCCCAGCCGGACTTTGCTCTTCCCCAGCCGCCTCCACAGCCAACAGAGCCACACTCCCATTCCCTGTCAGCTGTTTGTCTTCCTCCTCGTACTGACAGGGGCATGACAGTATCAGAAACTTGGACTTTAGCTCAGATTGTGCTAGTTTTCAGCAACAAAAAGGCTTTAGATGCTTACTGAACTCCACGGCCCTGTTTTCCATTGAGCCGGACATGGTGTTCTGTTACAAGGCCTGCGACTCTCCGGACGTTCTCCACTGCAGTACTTGAAATGGACGGAGCGGTTTGCACTGTCCTGAAGCGGCTGAACGCAACGTACACTTCGGATTTGATAACCGGACGTCCCACAGGTTTTGGTGCAGTGCTCCCATTCTTCTGATACCCAGCTACAAAACAGAGAGAATGTTGTTTTTTTTAATGCTGAAAAATGGAAGCCGATGGACAGGCATCATTGATGATCCATAAATGTGACAAAGGGTCCCTTTGAAGTGGGGAGAGGGGGGGTTAAGTGGCTTGATGACAATGCGTTAACTCCTTGTTGTGTTTTGTTTATTGTATTTTTCAGGACATATTTTTTTCAAGGGGGGATGCCTGTCAGCTTTGGAAGCCATATTAGTACCAGATGCTTCTACCAGGCATGATATTCCGCTCTGAAAAAAAAATCGGGGCCGGCCAAAAGAGACCCCCCGCCGCGTGCCCGGGGAGCACCCGCTGCTTTCCCTCGCCAGGGCCGGGCGGTGGCGTGTTGCACGGAGGCTGGTCTGTGGCTGGCCCAGCTCCCTTTTCCTGCTGCTCAGCGGCCTCCGCTCGCACCGCCCGGGCTCCGTTCAGGTATCCGGCTGGGGCTGTCAGGAGTTGCTACCGCCGGCGCAGCTCCACGCGGCTCCAGTCCCGCGTTGCCTCGGGAAGGGAAAGGCAAAACCAGGAGCCGCTGCTGCCGTTGCAAAGCGCCGCTGCGGCTCTTCCTTTTTGCCTTTCCCTTCCTGAGGCAACGCGGGACTGGAACCGCGTGGAGCCGCGCCAGCAACTCCTGACTCGGGGCCTCTGAGGGGAGGGGAAGGAGGAGAAGAAGGGGTGGGGGGAAAGGGGGGGGATTCCCAAAAAAATCGGAATTCCGATTTTAATCGGAAGAATATCATGCCTGTTCCACGCTGCCATATTCTTGAGCCTGAGAAAATGGGAGGGGGGGAAGTTCTTGGAGTATGTGTGGTTAGACATAATAGCATTCTTCTGCTAAGTCAAGGTCATGTTATTTCTGCACCTGGGTGAGGGGATGTCTCAAGTTGGGATGGGCGGTGATTGGGGCATGTAATGCAATGATTGGTGCAGGGGGTGGATTTGTAATATTTTACTTATTGAAGGGAAACCCGGAACTTTCAGATTCGGGATTTCCCAGATGTGCCAGTTTACTACTCTAATAAAAGGAATCTTTGAGCAGATGTCTGTCTTGGAGTTATTTGTTGGAGTTGAAGTTTTCTGGAACACTGACAAAATTATCCTTGCAGACTGAAGAATATCTGCGGGATAGCACTAGCACTTAGAGTTATATACCGCTTCACAGTGTTTTTACAGTCCTCTCTAAGCAGTTTACAGAGTCAGCCTATGGCCCCCAACAATCTGGGTCCTCATTTTACCCACCTCGGAAGGATGGAAGGCTGAGTCAACCTTCAGCCCGGTGGGATTCGAACTGCCAAATTGCAGGCAGCTGGCAGTCAGCAGAAGTAGCCTGCAGTACTGCACTCTGACCACTGCGCCACCACGGCTCATAAATGAAACATTAACTTTGAAACCCATTTGATTTATCTGGCATAGAATAAATTTTCCCAAATGGGCTTCTTCGTACAGGTAGTCCTCGATATATGACCACAATTGATCCCAAAATTTACCTCGCTAAGGGAGAAATTTGTTGTGTGAGTTTTGCCACGTTTTACAACGTTTCTTGTCAATCACTGCAGTTGTCAAATTAGTAACAGTCATTAAGTGAATCTGGCTTTCCCCATTGACTTTGCTTGTCGGAAGGTCAAGGGGATCATATGACCCTGAGACACTGCAACCGTCATAAATATGAGTCAGTTGCTAAGCATCTGAATTTTGATCACATGTCCATGGGGAGGCTGCATCAGTTGTAAGTGCTAAAAACCGTCACAAGTCACTTTTTTCAGGGCTGTCGTAATTTCAAACGGTCGGTGAATGAACTGTTGTAAGTCGAGGACTACCTGCAACTCACCACTCCGTTGTTTTATATTTTGATACACATTTTATATGTTCTTTCAAGGAATTTGATGCATTTTGCAATGCCACATGAAATAAAGGGAACTGAGTTATTTCCATTTGCCGAGAATCAGCATCTTAATAAGGCAGAATCGTGAAAGCTCAGTGCTGGGGTCTAAGCCGATGTTTTCTCTCTGCTTACTGGGAGTCACGCTCACTCTAAATGAACATGACTCTGCATGATATTCTCTTGTAATTTAAGACAAAGGATGCACAGTTTTCCTCTGTTGTTCCTTGGAGCACAGAAAAGCTTGCCCAGGGCTGGTATAATATTACAGATGAGGCTGGAATCCCATTTTTATGGCCAATCTTCAGACTTATAGATTGGAAGCTTATTCTATTCTATTCTATTCTATTCTATTCTATTCTATTCTATTCTATTCTATTCTATTCTATTCTATTCTATTCTATTCCATTCCATTCCATTCCATTCCATTCATTCTATAACCTATTCTATTCTACTCTACTCTATTCTACTCTACTTCACTTCACTTCACTTCACTCCACTCCACTCCACTTCACTTCACTCCACTCCACTCCACTCCACCCCACCCCACCCCACCCCATCCCATTTATTTATTTATTTACTGGATTTTTATTCCACCTTTATGACTTTATAAGGAACTCATGGTGGCAAACATTCCTAGTATTCCTTCTTCCTTCTTCTATTTTCTCCACAACAACAACAACCCTGTGAGGTGAGTTGGGTTGAAAGAGAGTAACTGACCCAAAGTCATCCAGTCGGCTTTCATGCCTAAGGTGGGGCTAGAACTTACTGTGATTGCCCCAAAGACACCCAACCACTTTTCATGCCTAAAGTGGGACTAGAACTCCCAGTCCCCTGGTGATTGG